TCACTCTTCTATTTCGAGCAATGATCTATCAGATTTCTCAATATCCAACTTCCAGGACTACCACCTATCTTGAAATTCATGAAAAGTTTTTACAGATCATGTACAGATCAAATCTAGTCTGTGTGCCCAGTGAGACATACAGATACACAAGAACTGCTTCTTCTGGGGAATTTGTACCTCTCTGCACATGAGCTGTAGGGCTGGCATATTTGGGAATCATCAGCCTTGCTGTACATGCAGACAGGGCCCTGGGCAGGCCGGACCTGACAGTCTTTGTAGCTCTAACAAAGTCCAGTGTCCAGACTCATAGTCAGTTGTGTGTATCACTGTGCAAAAATGTTAATATTTCATGAAAATGTTATTTTCCTGGGTGAATTCCATCATATCTGCTTACTCTAGTGGCTCTTTTGGGGTATGGCTGACAGCAAATGTATCTACAGATACATTAATTAACATTAGCTGGCATTAATTAGCTTGCTGAGATATTGCTAACTATGTAGCTCTCACTGTATGAGGTACAACAGAGGCTGGAAAACATAACTAGTATCCTCAGCTGTATATTTTCAAATTATTAAATACAAATGCAAAGAGCCTGAAGTCTTGCTGTGAAGCCACAGAATATCTAACCCAGTGGCAAAGGGGATACCAAGATCTAGTTGGCAGCCTAACTTACAGTGGAACTTCTATTGATGGTAACATGCTAGGAAAAAAGCCTGTCTTACTCACAGAGGTTAGGATAAAAAAAGCAGAATTAGCAACTAGAGGAAAATGCTGAATATATTTAATTTGAAATCACTTAGGGATACAAACATGAAAGTGAACTGGGCCAATCTACTAGCATTTTTCAAAGAACTCCAGCTTAAGGATGATGGGAATTCTTGGAAGGTGAAGGAGCTGCTTTTTTTGGTATCAGTTCTCTGATTAGCCTTGATGTTTCCAAGTGCAGTCCCTCCTGGATCAACAAATTAGAGAGAGGTCTTCCTCTTCAAAGTTCATGCCCAGCATGCTTTAGTATCCTCTTTTGATCAAGAACTAAATATTGAAAACTCTAGTCTTTTTTCCCCTTGGAACCAAAGATACAGGTCTGGGAGATTATAGTCCTGTCTCTCCTGAATGAAGTTTCTCAGATGTTAAACTGAGATTATACAAAACATGAGCTTTGCTTTTTTGTTCTTAGACAACCTATGCTTGTGAGTGGCAGTCCTCACAAATACACAATGGACACATTGGCTGCCTTGTTGACTCTTACCTTTGTTTCAAGAGGAATTCAGCAAGTTAACTGTGTATCTCTTTCCAGGTTTATTCCTAATTTCACCAATATAACAATTCCTGAAACCTGATTATTGCCCTACTTTTAGGATAATGAATTTTGTGCCCGTGAGTAAATTTTTTGCTGGTAAAATAAAAAAGAGAAAAAAAGCAGGTCAGTGTACTTTTTTATTCCTCTTGGGGCAGCATTTGAGAAAATAGCTAATGCTTCATTTGAAGATGGTTTTAAGTACATATTTGTTTTTATCCAAGTGTTCATTTCAAATGTGTGAGATGATTTTGTATTTGCTTCCTTAATAGAATTCCACCCTTCTTCCTGTTTTCCTGAGAGAATGAATTAGGTTTCAGGTGGTAAACCCAGCATCTGTTCATTATTATTACTAGTCATGTAGAATTAATTAATTTCCATTGTGGCATTCTAATTTGTAGGGTGCCATATAAAGCTAGAGGCAGTTCCCAGCCCCAAAGAGCTTTAAACTTAAGCATAAAATAAGAGATGAATACTGCAGAGAGACAAGATGACCGTGTGGTACTGATGAGAGAAGCTACAGGTGGTGATGAGCAATCACAATGCAGCACTTATCCAAACATTGTAAACGTCTTGTTAGACATCATGGTGATAGTGGTTTTGCAGGCTTTTATCAAGTGATACATCTCAAGACAGGATGAAAACTGAATGTGCTTGTTGAAAGATTGGACAAATGGACAGTTGAGACCTGTGTTATTCCTTGAGAAGAGGCAGGAGCCATTATTCTTATTCACCTTATTAAAGTTGATGGATAAGAAGGCAAGTGGAAGGACTTTAAAAATGGAGATAAGTAGTTTTGTTCTTATATCCTTTCTCATGTTTACTACATTGGGAGAAAATAAGTTCTGTTCCCGTGCTGCTGAAAGTTATCGTTGCGGTAACTCCACTATTATTAGCTCATTCCATTTTTGCCTCAATATTCAGGAAGTGGTACTGAATCAGTGCATTTGATACTTGTAAGGAATTCAGAAGCAAGCTGCTTATTTTATAATAGCTATAAAGAGAGGTAGGATATACAGGTCCCTAAACTGTTTGTTGGTCTAAGAGGAGAAGGGAAGAAGAAAAACAACATAAAATTACAGGTGGCTGAACAAAGATACAATGTGGAAAAGCTGTAGTAGCCTCTGACAATCATTAAATCTGCAAAAGAAACCTGGTACAGTGGGTGTTAATTACAGTAATTCAAGAGGTTTCTGGGAATACAGTGGCTTCTTTTTCATGTGGTCTGTACAATTAATGACTCAAGCTTTCTGTTATGAATCCTTAAATCATTCTGCTGTCTTATGAACAAAAAGAAATGCCTAGGAGACAGTAGCAGAGACTACTTTTCCAAACTTCTTCAAATGCCTTCTGTGTCCTAAAGATGCTGCTTTTTCTGTGAGCCCTCTAAGGAGCCATGGTAGCAATTTCCTAGACATCCTGTATTTACTAATTTATAGAATGGTTAGTTTTGAATAAGGGTTTGAATTAACTGATGAGTTGCAATTGTGAAGTATTTATTTCATATTAATTGAAACCCAGAGCCTTAGCATTTAGTGACCTGGTCCACAAATATTTACCATGAATGTAACGCTTATAATTGCAAATTATGCAGGAATTATTGATTCCTCACAGTAACAAGTACTGTGCTAAATGCAACGAGTGTCACAGGATCAATTCTTCTGTCTCTGTTCCTATCGCAGTTACAAACTGTATATGCAAGTCACATTAAAAGTACCTTCCTATTGTTTTGGTTTTTTTTTTCCTTTCTTTGTCTTTTCTTGAAGATCTCCTCACATTCCCACTGTAGCTCCTGCCTCTGACATTGACATATGTCTTTGAGGCTTGTCAACATAAAGCAGCGTGTGGTCCCAGAGCTGAGCCTTGCTTCTTCCATATGACTCTCAAACAGAGACCTGTGAGCAATTAGTCAAACTAACCTCTCAAACAGCAGTACCTGGAGGTGCATGTTTAAATTTTTTAATTATCTCAATGGGGATAAGGCATAGGAATTTTTGAGCAGGATCAACCTGGCAAAATTGCCAAGGAACAGCAGATGCTTTTCTGTAAGGAATTGCCTTCTTTTTCATGTGGCTATCATGCCAGAATGGCTAACAGGTGTTAGTTTCTTAAGAGGGAAAAGAAACTACTACCACCTAGTTCATGAAAACAAAACAGGATACAGAAGGTAACGCAAAAATTGTGGATGGCATAGGAAATTGTATTTCTAGATATAAACTTTCTGAAGTACAAAAGGAGGCAAGATTTTTGTTCTGAGTTGTCTCCATCCAGAACACATTAACAACAAATTGCTAATTTCTACAATAAAATTACATCTATTGATCCTGGATTAGGAGTAGTTTCAAAACTGGTTTGCTTGCCTAAGCCTTGACTAAAAATGTGCTTGATCAGAGACAGCATCTCAGGAAACTGAGCTGACAGTAGAGAACTAAAGTCACTTTAGCCATCCATGAACATCCCTCTTCCCTGGTTCCTTTGGGACATGGTGTCCCAAGGGAATAGTTACTTAACTTTCCAGAGAAGAGGGTCTGCTAGCATTCACCTTGTGGAGTGGCAAGAAGGTAACTCTTAGGAAACTCTTGTCTTCTCCTAAGAGTGATAAATGATAACCATAGGTAGAAACGGGGCAAAATCCAGACTACATCATTACATTGTCACAGCATCCACTGTACAAGCATGCTTAGTGCTTAGCTTACAATGTGCAGCCTTTTTAAGTACCTTTTTTCCAGCATTTATAACCTTTTCAACTGCCCACAGGTTTGAAATGGGATGCTCTTCTTGTGATTAGCATCAGGACAATAATCTTGTTTCCCTATCTCCCAATCCATTTTGAAGTTGAATGTGTCCAGTTAAAGTACTAGCAGTTAGCAATCCTTGTGCTCAGGGTAGCCATACTACACAAGCTCTCAGCTTTGCTACCCAAGGATTTGATGAGTGACTTGTGTTGCAGAGAACTGCTGCTATTGCTGCCCTGGGAATGGAGGAAGGACATTTACCAGGAGCACTGATCCTTACCAAGTGTGATGCTACTTCCAAGTGGCAGGAGAATTGCAGGGAGGCATGCGTCCCACATAGAAATACAAATGAAAGGGAAAGAAAATAGGTTTTCTGTTTCTTCTCAATGCATCTGACTAGAATAAAGGCACAACCCCTGCCAGCATTTCAGAGTATGCACTTTCACAGCATCATCAAAGGAAACACACACAGGATTCAGAGAAGCTGGGGGAAGCAAATAGCTATGTTAGCAAAAGAAAAAATACATGGAAGATAATGAAATATGTTTTCCTCCCCTGAATTAAATGACCATTATGTTTATAAAAGGATCTGAATCATACCCATATTCAAACATTTTCAGATAGTACTTGCCTCTCTCAGCACACAGCCGCTGACTACTTAAACTCGGACTGTGGGCCTTACCTGTCTGGACTTGGTGCTGAAACAAATAGCTTAAAGAGACAGAGGTGTTAAGCAATCAATTGTAAGCCCATCTCTGCCAGTGGAACTGGTATCTTTGTGTGTCTTGAAGCCATAATCTGAAGGATATGAAAACTTCATCACCTCTACTGCTTTGAAAAATGCATCAAAATATGCCACGTAATTCTACCTCAGCAAAGTGAAAAGTCGTGAATACTTGAAATGTGTAACCAAGAACAATCTAGATAATTATTTAGGACTCCAATGACTGTCATTAGCAATAATGATGATGACGTTAACAAGTAAAAACAAAAAAGGAGAATATGAGGAAAAACTTGCTAATTGTGAGATATCTTAAATTTTTAAAGAGTTTTGTGCGGTATGGTAGAAACTACGTAATGTGAAGCAATTAAAATTTGCCCAATCAAAGCATTAAAAAACAAACAGTACAATACAAAGCAGTTCTATATTGTCAGGGGAGTGAACAGGTTATCTACTGTCTAGCTCTAGTTTTTAAGATCCTCATTTGAGAAAGAAAGAAGTGAAATAGAATTATGTACTCAAAATACTTGTTTTCTTTTTCAGCGCAAATTGAAGTGATACCATGCAAAATTTGTGGTGATAAGTCTTCTGGAATACACTATGGAGTCATCACATGTGAAGGCTGCAAGGTATGAGATTTTAATACAGCATAGTCATCAGCATCTGCATTAGCCTCAGGCATCTGCGCGCCATAATACACTGTAACATGCTTTCAAGCAAGTGGTGCCAAAGGCTGTAAAACCTGCTGTTAATACAGATGCATTTCATGCCTAGTTTTACTAGTTGCTCTCTTTTTCATCAAATAGTCTTTAGAGTTACTTCCTTGTTTGAAACATGAATTAATCGCATCTGATGCAGTGTAAGTGCTGATACAGAGGCTAGCAACTGTAAGTCACACCTGTTCTACCTTAAATCAGCTTGACAGATGGATTTCTTATCTTGTTTCCTGTACAATCGCTGTAACATTAAAAGTTGGTGCGGTATCTCAGTTCAACATCTTAAAAGCTTACAGGTGTCTGTTTAGTCCTATTTTATCCCCTTTTTATTCTCTGCAGGCCAAATTGTAATCTCCAAAAGAAAAAACGCCTTACATTATGAGTAGCAGAAAAGGATCCTTTGTCTTCTTCCTTATAGGCTCCAGCATAGGGCAATTGCTGGGAATTGGAGGTAAAAAAAAAAAAAAAAAAAGGACAAAAAACCCTGCCATGCCACTTAGTCATATTAACATATTATCCCAGGCATTAGTTCAAATAACACGAATCATACCCCAAGCCAAGAGGAGAAAGGCTTCAGTTTTCAACTTTAAAAATACTCTGTGTTTTTGTTATCTAAGGAATTATATCATTACTCATGGAAAACTAGAATTCCATACTACATGTTGGTATTTCAGCTTTGACTGTAAATGTGAAATTGCAAAGATGTAGAGGCAGCATCTCTGATTTCTTCTATGTGGAAACACACAAACTGGTACATTTGAAAGCGGGTGCGTATTTGTAGAGTGAAATAGCAAGTCTGTATTTACTTAATACTTTACAAAATTTTAGAACATCTGAAAAATCTGAAAATTTGAGTGCACCCATTCCCAAAAGAAAGTTTTTAATGCCAATACATTGAGAAGCAATATAGTGTCAAAGATCAGATTTCTTTCAGAAACGTTAGCAATTGTAAACAGAACAACTCACAGTGTGTCACTGTCTTACTTTGACACTGGACTAGAAATAAGCATCTTCTTACAATGATCACATGAAACAGGATTAGACTAAATGATCCGATACTTCGAAATTGGCACAAAAGCTACAGGAGAAAAATGCTTTAAGCAGAAAACAGTGTCCTGTCTTGGTACTCAGCGCCCACAGAGCAGGTAGGGGTAGAGTCTCCTGTAGATGTGATTAGGGTTAATTCTGGCCCTTGTGTCTGCCTCAAGGGGAGATGATACCCCTCAGCACTGTGTGTAGACTGCTTATTGAGATAAAGAGCTTCTTTTCCTCTTACAACGGTTTTAACCGTATTGTTTTTTCTGCCAGTTTTGCAGTATCAGATCAATTAGTCTAATCTTGTTTTGTGAGCCTGTTGTGAAAAAAAGATGTTAGGTTTCACATTGGGTCCAATGGGAGGCATCTCAGTCTGTCAGAGATCTCTGAAAGTAAGCGCTGTCTCGGGCAGTGCAACTCCGCTCTTCATTGCCCAGCAATTAAGTAAGTATTTGCTCAGCCCGCATACTAATAACTTGTCATTTCTGGCTCCTTTTGTCTGAATGCATTAGAAATCTGAATTAATTAAGAGGGAGACCATGTGTGGAAGAAAGAGGGAAGAACTGTTCCACAAACATTGAGCCAGGCACCAGAGAACCGCAGCATTTCAGGACACAGCATCTGAGGATTGTACTGCCAGTGGCAGTGCTACAAACTTCAAGGGACGGGAAATCCTTTAACTCTGTGTCCCTACATTAGCTATGCCACTGCAAATGCATATTATAAGTCCTTAAGGGGCATCATAAATATTACTGCTCTTTCATGTGCATGCCTGCATATGCTGAATAATGTGCTGGACCCAGTGAAGAAAATGGTGGCTCTGCCACTATTGTCACTGAAGGGGTGAAACCTAAAGACAGGTTTCCATCCCATCTGTCCTTGTGGCTCCTTCTTTTGCTGAGAAGCCTTTTATCATCTCTCTTGGCTACCCCCAGAGCAAAGTGTTTGCTACCATTCTTTTGTCATGATTTAGACAGTAGTTTGCATGACCATTTCCCTTCTCAGACTGACTGTCGGTGATGGATAAAGTGACTTGTTTAAGATGCAGAAAGACTTGTTGTCAGTGTTGGGAATATTGGGAAACTTTAAGTCCATACCTCCTCAGTAATGAACTGCATCCACCTTCCCTGAAATGGAATTATTCTCAGTAAATATAGCCAATATTATATAAAGATCCCCTAAAAATGAAATGAAAGGATTGTCTGTACCTTGTAAGACAACATGTAGATCTTATGCAGGAGAAAGTGTAAAAGTCTCCCTGGAAAAATAAACTACCTGCTGCAGATTAATTTTATTATGTAACCCTTGATTTTTTCCTAAGAGGGGCAAAGAAGGAACAGACAAATTCTTCTGAGATGAGATCAACTTTAATGGGAAAAAAACTGCACAGTCAATGCTAGATGGTTGTGTGGCGTTTTATAATGTTATTTAATTCATTTTTTCTCTCAAATCCATATCCACGTAGGAGCTGCTAAAATCTAAACCTTTAAACCAGAAAATCCTTTGCATGTCAAAAACAAAACTGGCTGTAAAGTTCAGCAAATAGAGTAGAAATATCTGCAATTAGCATCCATTTAGCCTTAAATTAAAGTCACCTCCACAGTTTCAGGAAAGTTTTGGTCAGCCAGGATCAGGTAAGTCCCCACCAGATTTTTCTGAGAGTTTCCCTAAAGGATATCCATGTTCTCAAAACTGCAAGTCATAAAACTTAGTTTAGTTTTTAGATATACTATAATCACTGATAAAACCAACATGGGCCAGATGTGATGCCTAGGGACATGGTTTAGTGGTGGACTTGGCATTGCTAAGTTAACAGGTGGACTTGATGATCTTAAAGGTCTTTTACAACCTAAACGATTCTATGATTCTGTGATTCTAAATGAGTCACTTTAAGCTCGCTCTCAGGAGCTAGGACTGCTGGTGTCCTTGGTGGGATACCATGCCTGTCACCTGTTGTTACTGACACACCACACCATCCTCACTGGGTTCACCAGGACTTGAATGAAAATTCAGGCACTACCTGCAGCAAGTGAATTGAGCCCTGGGACACTGTCCCCTTGTTGCCTCCCCACTCTCATTTCCCCAAAACACATGGTTGTCATGATTTCCATTGCTCAGTATTACTGTCTGTCAGCCTGTGCAGAGATAACACTGGTTTTGCCTGGTAAATGAAGTCAGCTCTTGCTTTTTGGCTCCATTCAGAGCTGTTTGCAAACCAGCCCAGAAAGGCACAATCACTTTGATATCACTTCTGGTGACTAGTGTAACTGCAGTAATGATGTTTTATGCCCTTTTTCTCCTCATGGCTTCCTGCGGTGGCTAGTCTGTCTTTCAGCTCTCCCGCTAGACAGCCCTGCAGCTGCCTGTGTCTAAAGATGCCAAAGTGGCTAAGGAACTTTTCTTTGTTTCTCTCTCTGGACTTGCGGTTCCTCCTGTCCTTTATTTTACAGGAAAGAAAAGAATATGACAAAATGCCTTCTCCCTCTCTCTTTCTCTCTCTAATCCTCATCCCCTGGTTTCATTCCTCTTGTCACCTCTGCCATTTCCTGTCACTTCTACCATAATGGTACCTCTCGGTGTCATTCATAGCAGCTGGGAGCTCATAAGGCCTTAGGTATGGGTTAATACTCTCCTTCTAGCCCTCTGATCTTTAGCCAAATAACGACAACTGGCCAGAAAAACCTTCTAGGAGATAGAATAACTACACATTTTTACATAGATAAAATGGATAATGTTATATTCCATTGAAATGGAAAATGTCATTACTTTCTCATGGTAGTGTCTAAAGGTGTTGCTTTCTCCTTTGTGTGTTAGCTTTACTTGATACAGTCATTAAATCCTAGTGCTTTTGTGATGCTTGAATTTGAATTACTTTTCACTCCTGAAGTGTGTGGTCCCTCCAGATCAGATCAACATTTGCCAGGTTAAACTGAACAGCAGACTTCAGCTTCTAATGCTATGCGTAGCCAGTGCTGGTGATTACCAGGCCCTTTCATTAAAGGAAGAAAATAGTCAGAACAAGTACTTTTAAGTCATCTGTTTACAAATGCTGACAAGCTTTCCTCTATCAGGAGGAAACATTAGATGATACATGGTCATTATTGCACAACAAGAATGCATTCTGTAACATTATTGTTTGCGTTTTAACAAAGTAGAATTACATTCTTTACAGAATAAAGCACAATTCCCCTTATTATAAATAAATGTTCTTTAATTTCACTATACAAGGCCAACAAATCTGCAAAGCCATAGCACAAGTAGCATTGCACTAAATAAGAGTTTATTGTGGTCATTTACATGGTTCTCTGTGTGTCTGTGTGTGCGTGCACATATATGCACATGGTAACACTGTCTCTCTTGCTCTCTTGCCCCTAGGGATTCTTTCGGAGGAGTCAGCAGAACAATGCCTCCTACTCCTGCCCAAGGCAGAGAAACTGTTTAATTGACAGAACCAACAGAAATCGTTGCCAACACTGCCGGCTGCAGAAATGTCTTGCCCTGGGAATGTCTCGAGACGGTAAGGAGTCAGATTCCTTCTTCACGCCTAAACCCTTTGAAACTCTTCTTCACTGCTGCCTTACTTAAACTCTCTGTAGATTTCTGGAAAAAGAAGAGGAGAAGCTCCTTGCTTTGTAATGCATGCACTGAGAGACACGGATCTTTGCCATTCAGTTAACAAAGGAGGCTATTTTCATGGGGAGGTTGGGGAAATCACAAAATGGAGAGCAGTATTAGTTTGGAACAGAAAGAGTCAGAAGTGAAATGTGTTGTTCTGATCAAAAGCACAAAAAGGTCACCTCTGGAGAGGTGGATTTATATTCCAGCTTGTATAACCTCTTATATTAAACATTAACATTTATCTTAACATTAAATATTGATGTGTGAAAGCATCCCTTTCCTTGAGATCTCTAAAGGCCTGTGACAGTAAATAGGCAGTTAAGAAGAAATTTACACCTTGATAGCATTAGAGGTTTCTGTTTTATTCAGAGCACTTGACCAAATATTTTGCATTGCTAAAAAAACATTTCTTTTACCTGTGCATTGCCCCCTGTCGCTGTCTGGGTCTATAGTTTCATAGTTTAGCACTGAAAATGGACATTACACCAGAGGAAAACTCAACAGTATATCTGATAGCTGTCCTTTGGTCCCTGTAGAGCTCTGGTACACCTTCCAAGCCATGGTGTGACGAGCCGTGATTGGCAGGCTGAGAACATGCACCACACCAGAGCTACAGGCAGAGTGGGAGTCTTGGGCAAGGCTACCTGCAGCTGACCTGCCCCAGTCACCACTGCTCATGCAGGGGGTTTCCAGCTCACAGACACAGTTTAAATTGTGAGAAAGTATGAGAAGAAAATGTTCTATTTTTGAAGGCAGGTTATATTAATTTCAGTTGCCTGGCAGCAGTTTTCTGTCTTAGAAAGTTTACACAAAATGTGTCATTTGAAATTAACAGTCATTGAAGGAGAAGTTACTTAAAGAACTATTTCTTTAGATGGTCCACAGATTATAAACGTGTTTGAAATTTGGACTGTAATAGGTGTTTTCCTTCCTCACTGAACCAACTTGCTCATCAGTGTCACCAGTCTGGGAGGGTCCTTGCAGTCTAGCCTTTAATCCGTGAACTCTTTTTGGTCCTAGCATGCAGCTTACTTGATGCCTTAGCTCCCAATTCTTCCTGAAGGAGATTAAAGTAGTAACATTTCAGTAATTTAACAGCACATGCTTTCCTCCTAGAAGTAATATCTTCCAATGATTTGAGGTATCATAGGGGCATTTTAATGTGACTGACAGCACAGTTTTCCCAGCCTATAATTCAGGGACCACTGAGTACAGACAAAGGGAGTGATTCTTCTGACAGCATCACTTTCTTCTCTCATTGTTTATGTAAGGGTGTTTCTACTTAACAATATTAAGAGCTCTTGCAAGTTTAAAATAGGCTGTATGGATTTTTTTTAACAGAGAAATTGAATGTGATTTTTACCTCTCAGCCATGTAACAGATTCATTTTTATCATGCGGAGGCAGGATGCTAATTGACAGCAGCTGGAGAATCCAATTAATGAATATATAATGAGAATAAACAGTGGGTGTTTGTTTTTATTACTGAGGCTCTAAATTTGAAGAAAATACACAGTTGCATTTTTCAAAATACAGTCATTGTATATTGTCCATAAGAGTGTGCAGCACACTGTAGACTGATTCCACGGGCACGCTGTGTTCATGTGAGGTAGCTTGCAGCCTGTGTGAAGGGCTGCAAGTAAGCTGAGGTTGGCAACAAGAAAAGAAATTCTTACTGTAAAAAAGTGCAAATAAATTGAAGAGTCTGCCATCTCCTTGGTATTCTGGCACTGCCTTTTCATATTACACTCTTCCTTTTTGGTTCTTTCTCCTGACTGAAGATTTTCACATTCATCCACACATGTAGGATCAGGTTCTTCTGGAAGGCTATAGCTGAACTATAGGGCAGCTAAAATGAGAGCCAAGCCCATCCTGTGCTAATAAACGTGATGATTCTGAATTGATCCCAATTACAGATGGACTGAATATACTCAGCATTGGAAAACACACCTCATAATACATAGAAATTTGTATTTCCAGAGCAATGTCCTCTTATCTGTGCTCTGATAAATTCTGCTGAACTTATCCTTCATTTGTTTTAGAGCACAATGAACAACAACCTCTGCTCTGAGATTCCAAGATCTAGCCCAGCAGAAAGCCAGAAGTTATAGAGAGATTTGGGGGAGGGGACAGGGGGGAAGATAATCAGCTATGGCCCGCTGTATATGCAGGCTGGGGATTTACTCCTCCTAGTTCCACAGCAATCAGCCTGTCATTTTTGAAAATTTCAATCTCAGTGTAATGAACCCTGTTCCTGGGGAGAGTGGTTTGCACTCTGATGTTTTCCTCCCTTTCTCATCAGAAGGAATGCATGGATTTGTGCATGGAGATTATGTAAATTGATTGTGTAAATCCCTGAATCTTTCCTCTGTGGAAAAGACGACATTCATTTGTGCTGTTTACCTTCAAGTTTGTTATTTTCCTCTAGGTTCTAACTCTAACCTGTAAGGTTGTTTTTAAAAAGTGTGAAGATAACACCTTATTGAAAGGATGCGATAATAGGGCTTTAGGGCTTGTTTTCATCCAGAGTACTAATCCTGTTAGTGCACTGTTTAAACGTTTGTGAAAAGTTGATAAATCATATGGGATATGAATCTACAGACTGTACATTTCATACAGCTCTGGGTTGTTGTTCAGAGAACACAGAGATATAAAACGATGCATGGTCTTTTTAACATTCACAGTGTGAAGTGAGTTCCTTGATTGAGGCCCTCCTGTCAAATAGGAGTCATTGTCATCACCTGGTAAATCCAAGCACACAATACATTTTCCTTTGAGAGATGCATATGGTGTAAAGCTTTGCATCCTCTCTCATTTCCACAGAAAAAGACAAGTTTCCACAGCAAAAGTAATGCTGAAAGTAAATATCAAAAGAGCGGTGGGGTTGAGGGGAATCAAGAAAAAATGAAAGACGACAATGGTTCACGTTGTGCTTTCTTTTCAGCTGTGAAGTTTGGAAGAATGTCCAAAAAGCAGAGGGATAGCTTGTATGCTGAAGTGCAGAAGCACCAGCAGCGACTGCAGGAACAGCGGCAGCAGCAGAGCGGTGAGGCAGAAGCCCTCGCCAGGGTTTACAGCAACAGCATCAGCAACGGTTTGAGCAACCTGAATAACGAAACTGGCAGCACCTACTCAAATGGGCACGTCATCGACCTGCCGAAGTCTGAGGCTTATTATAACGTGGATTCTGCCCAGCCTTCCCCAGACCAGTCTGGGTTAGACATGACTGGAATCAAACAGATAAAGCAGGAACCTATCTATGACCTCACCTCTGTACCAAACTTGTTTACCTATAGCTCTTTCAACAATGGGCAATTAGCTCCGGGGATATCCATGACTGAAATAGGTAAGGAAAATTCTTATTTCTCTAGTGTAATATATATAAAATGTGTCTTGGGCATTCCCTACAGAGGTACACAATAATTACATATTCACACGTGTATATCTGCAGACACATACAGGGAGTAAAGGAAAGAAAATCAGTCTGGCAGTAATCGACACAATATCGAGGCAGTTCTTTTTTTACCAAAACCTGCAAATTATGCAGTTTCTTAAACTCAGCAGTTCATGTTCTGTTTATGAAATAGGAGAACCAAGGCAGGTGATGAATCAATCAGAACCAAGTGATAATTACTAGCAGGGAGCTTATTTCAAATGAGCTCATTACTAGCAGGTTTAAATGATCTCTTCAGCCAGCGATCCGTATTCTTGTCAACACCAGAATCCCCATGGCAGCTAATTCTAGGGTATTTATTGTCAAAAAGCACCAGCTCACTACTTCTGGTGTGTGGATGTACATGCAGAGCAAGTTCACTGAATTCAGGAGGTGCACAAACTCTGAATGTAGTTGCATGGATACCCCTGCTCCTCTGCTTGAATGCTTGGAGAACCTGTCCCTTGATTTCTTCTTTGAAAAATAGCAAAGAGAACTCTCTGTGAGATGAGACAGTTTGAAAGGCAACAGCTAACAGTGATTCTTCTCTAAGGAGGATTTCTGTTCATCTAATGCCTCTAGTCATACCTCTCCAACACAACTGGAAGTACTACTTCTATTATAAAGAAATAACATGAAAGAAGATTGGCATCCTAATTAGGTACTTCCCACCTCCACAAGTGAAGTATGCTGAGTCAGTTGTGGTTGAGAATATAATCAAAGGGTAACAGTTTGTTAATGAAATTTAATTAAAAAGAAAGAAGAAGGAAAAAAAAAAAGATGGTATTCAAAAGCACCCATAACAAAGGAACTAATGTCACATCATAAAAAACCTCTATAGTTCTGGCCTGGCCTTGCTGCGTCATGGATGTACACTGAGATATGTAAATGCATGTGTGTACTCAGATCTACTGAGGGCCCTGGAGATGTGGCATGCGCTTGATATATATTGCAGAAAGGGTGTATGCAGTAATTATTGTCTGATAAAAAAAATGAAGCTACAGCTAGAATCTGTAGCATGTTTTCTACCCATGGATGCTCATGTGCAGGAAAATGTGTAACAAATTATGTGCTTTAGTTGTGAATTGCACAGGGAAAAGTTATACTTTTCTGCCACTCTGTTTAGTGGGACATATTTATTATCACTTTTGGCCTAGGCTGCTATCCAGTGAAGTCCTACACCCACAACATAGCAGTACAGAGGATTAGTAATGAACATCTGCTCCAACTTCCTTCTCCTTTTGTGGCTGTATGAATATTACTCATGTGTGGCTTGTGCAAACCTCAGTCCTGCCACAGCCGTTTGCAGTACTCCAAATCAGCTGAGAGACAATTTAAACAGTCATAAGAGCTGTTTCCCTGCAGCACCCTGGACCAAAGGGAAATGTTCCCAGAGAGGCTCAGAGGAAGTACTAGAAATATGACAGTTCTGATAGTCCATGAATGAGGTTTGTGCTCAGTTACAGAAGTGAGCCCAAAGAGAGAATGTGGCCTTAGGACTATATCCTTTAGTGGCTAAAGGATCCCACTGAAGTCAATGGGATCTTTTGACTCATGGAGCTTTGGAGAACCATTTAACTTTTCTCTGTTGCAGGATTGCTTAGAAATAATGCATCATTCTTAAATTTTCACCCTTTTTTTTCACCCCATTTTTTTTGCCTCCTAGCCCTAAACCAGCCAGCCCTAAACCCACCCCACATTTCCCAGTCTTTCATCCTCTGTGTCATCTGGCCAGTGTTCCCATTCTGGAGCACACAAAGCAGGGAAAACCCCAGAGCACAGGGAGCAGGACATAGCAAAGGGCCTGTTTCTGAGTTGACAGCAAAATTCAGGTGCTGGGATTTACCTCTCTTCCTTCTGAAATTGGAACTGGCGCTCCTTGGATTTTACCCAAGTACTGCTGTATGTCATTTGTGCACCTACAGCAGAGAGGTAAGGGTGTTAGTGTGAGATAATGTACTATAACAGATCAGCTAACACAGCTGAAAAAATGGAAGAGATGTACCATAAAATATTGGGATTAGTGCACAAGCAAATTATATTTTCAGTGTTTAAAAACAAACATAAAATGCCTCTTAATGCTGCAGTGGATTGTTGGACCATCTGTAAAGCTGCAGTCTTGCAGTCAAAGCAGGAAAACTATAAGCACTGGGATGCGTTGATTTCATATTACAGTGTGCTTAAATTTCACCACAGCATTGTATCTTACTCACTCCAGTGAGATATAGGAATAAGCTCAACTCATGTTAAATAGAAGTTACTGTGTTAACTGTTAGATGAAATCATAGAAAATATATAGGAGATGGAAAAGCTATACTGCATTGATCCTCATGCCTGATAGAAATTTCTTCATACTACCTCGTCTAGTGATATACTGAACTGTTGCTTTAAGTATCCCAGATCACGTTAGCTCTTTTCCTCATTGAAGACTTTCTACCAGATTCAAATTTCCAGTCTTGGTTTTCTTCTGGTCTTTATATTCTTCAAATACATGTATTTTTTAAGCACAACCTCACTTGCCACTTGCCTGATCTTGAGTGCAACCCTCTTAATTTTTTCCCCATAAGTGAATGCATGAGAATCCTTCCATCCTTGAACTCCTAAAAGTTGCCATAAGCTCTCCAAGGCAGCCCAGAATCGAAACAGTCTTTGCAGCTTCTGCATCATATGCCAACCAATATCCAGTTCACTTATTCCTTCAGTGTTGCTGCTTTGCTTGTTTCTCACTCAATTCTCTCCTGTACAGGACAGTTTTTATTAAGATAACTCTAACCACACATTTCCAATTTTAATCTTATTCTCTCTTATTTTTCTAACTTTTTCAATCCTGTTACCTTTTGTCTCAGTCCTCGTTGATGCTTTGTGACTTCTTTCAGTTTAGAATTTTCTCTTCATTTAGTTAGCATGCTGTGAACCCTCTCTTGCAGATTAATAATGAAAATGTTAAATGCTTGTAAAACAAGTTCTAACAATGGTCCCTGCTGCACCTGACTAAACAACTTGCTGCAATTGCATAAATTACTTTAGTATTTACTTTTTGCTTGCTATCCAACAGTAAGGTTCTCTGAAAAATCCATATAACAAGTCTTCATTTCCCTCTCAGTTTGATTCAGTTATAAAAATAATATTTTCTAAGATACTCTATAACATAATTTACACATCATTTACATTATTTTCTTCACATGTTAATTTTCTAATTCTACCAAAAAGGAATTGAAATGGTCAGGCCTACTTTGATCTTTAACAGCTCTATGCTTTATTTTGAAAGTGAAAGTGCTCTTTTTCCTGAACATACCTTCCTCTACAGTAGATTTTGCAGTGGAAATGGAAAATGTTCAACTTAACAGTTTTGAAATTCGAAATTTTTACACAGCAAATGTTTCAACACATAGTATTAGAATGGCACAGCAAGCAAAATATAGCTTATCCTGCATTGCATGCTTACTAGTATCTCTAAATACTGTACCAGGAAATAGGTGTAGATGAAAGAGATGCTGACAAATTAAAATTGTATAAGGCTCCTTCAGACATATTTAGTACTAATATATTCCTCCAAATGTGTTGAATAGTCCGGGGTACAACTGCACATTATCTGATCACTATGAGAAGCAGGATAGGTAATGTCTCCTACAGAAGTAAAGGCTAAGTGTAAGAAAGAGCAGTTTCAGATATAGACACAAATTTCTCATGTAACTGCCAGAGCTTACAATGGAGAAAAGCTGGATAAAATCAGATAGCTCCCCATTAGGCAGAACTGTGCCTTAGGCTCAGCCCTGGTCAGTATTCCAGTTCCTGTTACAAAAAGAAACTCAAAGCATAAAGAAATCAGTCCAAAGCCCATAAATAAGCATACAGGAGCAGAGGCTTAGCTTAGCATCAGCTGCATTTCCAGGCCAGCTCCTTTTTCTTTTAAGGGAAGTATTTTCATTGTTAACTCAAGGCATCTTACTGGAGACTTGATCTGGATTTGTAGCCAAGTGGGCAGAGCACAAAGTAGGTCAGATGCAGCCACCAGATGAGTTGTGCAGGCTCTTTCTCTACCTGTGCTGCTGTCCACAAATGGCATGACCCAGGTGTGTCCCGCCAGCCAGCTATGCTGTCAGCACAGGAAGGACCCAAGGCCTGAGGGTGCATGCTGCCAGGGACTCCACAGTACGGTCCTGTTTATCCCTGACCAGAGCACCATCTGCACATCTGGGAATGCAGAAATTCCTCATGCTGTGGTGGGAGCTCAAACCATGGGGTGAAATCTGCTCGTGGTGTAGAAAGTGAGAATTTAGTCACTTGTAGAATGGTTTTCTCCTCACAGAGAGAGTTGCAGAGGTCAGCTGGTGCATGGGAAACCCTAAAGGGAGAGGGGAGCTCCATTTCCTGACCCTGGTAGCCTCACAGAAGGACAACAACCCTTGCTCCCAAGGGTGATTTTAAATTAGCAGGTATTAAAGGCTTGGTTTTACACTTGGTCAAATTAAAGACCATCTTGTTTAAATACATGTGCATAATATTATCTATCAGTGAGCTGAATATTGCATTTTTCTCACAAAATATGTGGCTCAGACCTTGGTCTATAAAAGTTAATGGAAAGGTTTCCCTGCCTTGACTGCAGTTGAGGTTACCAGCCTATGATTTCTTAAAGAAGAGAAAAAATTATTAGCGAACAGTGTTGTGGAGAAAACAGATTGGTTAAGTGTTCACTCCAGGTCAAATTGAAAAGTGCCCTATAGCTGTGTGTATTTAGGTAGTCAATAAGGCACCACTAGAGTGTACAAGAGGTCACATAGTCCAGCCTCTATAATTACAGAAAAAAGTGTTGTTTGTGTACATTTACATAGCATTTCTTCAATATCAGCGCTATTTGAAGGTACCCAATGGCTTGGAGAGATTACATTTCTACCAAAATTAAAGTCATTAAG